GAGTCAACTAAACGTTCAGCTCATTTAGGACTGAGTCAGCTAAATGTTCGTCTCGTTCAGGACTGAGTCAGCTAATCATTCGGCTCTTTCAGAATTGAGTCACCTAAACATTCGGCTCATTCAAGACAGAGCCAGCTAAATCTTTGTCTTGTTTAGGACTGAATTAACTAAACGTTAAGCTTGTTCAGAACTAGTCATCTAAATGTTCGGCTCATTCAGGAGATGGATGACTTTGTTTTTTTAATTTTTTTTTTACTTTTATACTTTACAAAACATTTTAAAACTTTTTTACAGTTTTTTTAAAAATAGAATTACGTTAAAAATGTTAATTTCTATCAAAAGTTTGATCTCTTTGAAATCAGCTTCAGGTCCTCGCCTTGTTTCTTTCTTCTTTTGCTACTTTTAACTTCTATCTACATTTTGATATTTTTTGCCATTTAGTAGTTTTAGCTTGAGTTATATTTTTACTACTTTTCCCTAGACTGTACATAGATTTTAGCTAGCGTTTTTATACTTTTATGCTGTTTTGCTACAATAGCTTTGAGCTACCTTTTTGTCACTTTTAGCATTCACAACTCTGATTCGGCTTGTTCAGTAACTTGCAGCTGTCATTCAGCTGTCAGTGTTGCTCCATCATATCTTCTTTAGCCTTGTTATAATTTACTTATTTTGTTGCCAGCCGTGTCGGTTCAGTGCAGACGTAAGTCTAATTTTAACTATTTTATTCCACTTCTTCTTCGTTGGTTTTGTCTTTGCTGCCACATCTGAAATCGTTAAAGTGTATTTAACGATCTTCCTGCCGGTGCTCGTACCTCGACGATGAGCATGCGGGAGGCCATGGTGAGGCGGGTTCTGGGGGAGAAGTGGCTGGTCATCATGACCCTCATGCCGGCCTCGGAGAAGGTCAGCTGGTGGGGGTACGCCGACAGCAGCTCGTCCACCATCAGCACCGACGGGGCGCAGTGGAAGTTAGCTGCAGAGAAACGCACCACAAACGTCTAAAATACTGAATTTATTATAAAATACGAACGACACGATCCAGGAGCGAAGCGGAGGGGCAGCACACTGCTGGGTTTCAGGCAGAACCGCAGACTAAATACTGACCCTGAACTTGGAGAGGAAACCTCCAGTCCATCAGCAGAGAGACTTTTACAATCAAACCTAAACTCCTCTGGTGTCAGAGGGGGAATCGTGTCCTGCCAGACGTCAGAGCTCTGCGTTCCCGATGGAGACGCAGGTTTTCATGTATTTTCTGTTTTTCGATCTAAAATTACGATGGAAACAAGAATATCTAGTAAAAAGTACGACGGGCACCAACACGTTTGTAACGAGGCCTTTGATCATAACTTGACTCAACAATCAGTAAACTAACACCTGCCCCAGATAAAAACTCACAAAATACATTTATGTTGCACATTTTCCCTCCCAGCGTGTTTTTCTTTAACTGGTGCAGTTTTTATAAAGGAACGCCACCTTTAAGGATCTTATCGCAGAGCGGGTCAGAGCCGCCTCGTTGTCCCCATCGCAGAGCGAAAAGAGGGTCCTGGAAGAACCCGTCCATTTGCCCGTGCACGTTGTGAGCATGTTAGCTTGAAAAATAAGGGAGGTACCCACTTCCATTTTGGTGTGTGGTTACATCTTGGCGTAAAAAACGTTCCTAACAAAAGTTGGGCTCTCAAGTCAAAATCCAAGATGGCCACCACCATAAATATACGTAAACCAGCCAACCCCATTATTTGCTAAACGGCAAAAAGGAAACTGCTTTTTACCTTTTTGCTTAAAAGTAGTTTCCTCAAATGATTGGGGTAACAAATTAACCTATTGGGTCAGATAAATATAATTTAAACGATTATATGTTCCTTTAAGGACGACGCGTGTGTGTGAGTCCGACCACCTTTCGTCAGCAGGACCGCGGTGGCGTCACACGAGATTTCGTCCAGATCGGTGCTTCCCGTCAGCCCGTTGCCCAGCTTCACCGAGCTCTTCTTCCGACGGTCGACGAACCGATGAGCTCTGCCGTTGAACCTGACGGCCGGAAACGATTCGATTCGTTACCAACAACAAGACGGAACCGATGAGTTCCGACGCGGTTGAAGAGACTCACTTCATCATGAGGATGTAGACCGCGTACATGAGGATCAGAACCAGGGACTCCCACCTGCAAACACGAGTCACATTTATTCAGCCATCGCGAACTCACGGAGGTAACGTGATGATCGGTACGCACCAGCAAACCTTCTCATCGTAGATGAACTGAACGGGAAAGAGAAAACAGGAAACAATGAAGCACCAGATTCAAAATATGATGAATAACTTCACACATGGTCTTAGTGCAAATTCTGAGCTTCTGAAGCCCAAACTTCACAACACTACTCGGGTTTTACCGGATGGAGCGGCACAAAGTAGCACAGAGGGGCAAACAGCATCATGAAGACCAAGGAACACCGCAGACAGGTCAGGGAGGAAGTTGTCGAGGAGTTTTAAACAAAGTGTTAAGATTATAAAACGTCTCACAGAGCCGCTGTTCAAGCAGCGCACGGTAACTCATGAGCACAGCTCGGGTGGGACAGTCAGTCCACAGATCTGTCCGTTATGGAAGAGTGGTGAGAAGAAAGTCGAAGTCCCTGGAAGCCAACGCACACCACCCTGAACGCACCGTCCACACTGATGGACGGAGCTAAATACAGGAGAAAATCTGAACGTGGGTTCACCTTCCAGCAGGACAACCCAAAACATATCTACAAAGGAATGGGTCAGATCATGAGTTGGAATGGTCCAACCAGAGTCCAGACCTGAATCTGGTGGTAAGACCTGAAAACTGCAGTTTATAGATGTTCTTCATCGATCCTGACTGAGCACAGCTGGTTTACACAGAAGAATGGGACAAAAACTTCAGGTTGTACATGTTTTGGTGGAGACAAAGACCTGCAGCCGAAGGTGGTCCTACAGAGTCCTGACTCAGGGGGGTGAAAACGAATACACACCACCACACTGTGCCGATTTTAAACTATAAAAACACAAACAATTAGGGCTGTACAATTACTTCAGTTTGAATACTTGCTGAAACTGATACTATAATACTGATACAAGTACGAGTACCTGAGGCTGGTATCGGTATCGAGACGCCACAAAAATAAAAAGTTTTAGAAAATCATTTTTCTTCCTGCTCTAGTTTGTGTCGGTCCGTCGCTTAAAACCTGGAAAATCTTTGAAGTTTGTGGTTCGGAACGGGACAAAATGTGGAAAACTTCAAAGAGTTGAAAAAACGTTTTAAAGGCCCCGAACATTAGAGTCCAAAGAGTCAGAACCAAACACTTTGGACGGTTCTGAGTCAAATGAGCTGAAAGAGAATAATTAGTCCAATAATTTAATACAAACTCAGACGTTGGGACAGAGAAGAACTTCTCAGTTTCATGTTTCTGAACTAAAACCAGGTTTTTACCACGATGAGCGCCGTGATGGACAGCGTGTAGAAGGTCGAGTCTCTGAGGAGAGCCCAGTGGGACAGCTTCACCGCCTGCAGCAGGAAAACACACAAACCTTCAGAGCAGCTCCTGAGGGGTCTGAACCGCTGCAGATCTAATGCCCCTCTGTTAGCAAAATATACGAAACCGTCAGAAGGACCAAAACGAGACTAGATTCAAGATGGCTGCCACAGCTAATCAACTAGCAAAAACAGCTGCAACATCTTTACAGACGTTCAGCTAACGTTTGGTGTGGTAGTAGCTGAGAGTCGTCCCCAACACGCACTCAGAGGGTTGACGGGTCATGAAGTGTTCGTTTTGGGCGACATGCAGTTTTTACTGAGAGCTGGTTCTGTTTCCTGTCCGTACGGACCCATCAGAACCATCAGACGTATATCGCTTTATGTTGAGCTGTTGTTTGAAAGGTGCTTTATAAATAAAGTTTGATGCGAGTAAAAACAGTGTTACCACATGGTTCTGGTTCTGATCCGAGGCATGAGCAGGCGTGTGGACGCCGCGGGCCCAGACCACCTCCTGAGCTCACATTCCTGTAAACTGTAGAAAAACAGGCTCACCCTCTCACCTGGTGGCTGCCACAGCAGAGTTCTGGGTTGGTCCGGGAGTTCCCGGTCAAAGGTTCTGTTCGTGGACCGGTTCATCTGTTTTCCTACATCAAAACACCGAACCTGAACCGGTCCTGAGCCAGTGTGACAGGGAGGCAGAGATGAGATGTTTTCAACCTTTTCTTCTGATTGAAACCTCCGAGGGAGGAACTCTGGGCACGGCAGGGTTTGACCTTTGACCTGACGGCCGAGGACCAGATCAGTCCTTCTGAAACCTGGACCCAGAGGATGGACTTTCTTTTTCCCAGGACTGGGCTTCAGGCTGGGGTCAAAGGTGCCCCTCCCAGCTGCAGGACCATCATCCTGCAGTACGAGCTGAGCCAAGCTGAGGTTCTTTGGACCGAAAACTCCCCACAGTGATGAAGCTGACGGGTCGAAGGCGGCTCTCGGCCCCGCTACAGAACCCTAGCTTAGTGCTCTCAAGCTGCTCTTCAAACTGAGTTATTGGACCAAAAGTAGAACTAAACCCAGAGTTATGACGCACAGAACCAGTTAGCTCTCAGGGTTTGTGTTGGGACGACTCTCAGCTACTACCACACCAAACTGTAGTTCAACACCTGTGGAAAGACTCGTTTTAGTGTTGGCGTCTTGAATCACGCTGACTCCAAACGTTAATGAGGTGTAGAAGAACATTCAATAATTATGAAAGTTGTCCCCTGGTTCATGAGATATTTTGCTAACAGACAAATAATGACTATTACATTCTCGCCCACCAGTATGAAAGGCAGCCGTTAAACCAGATGTGGGCAACTTAAGGCCCGAGGACCAAAAGTGGCCCTTGGACAATCTCCATCAAGCCCTCAATGTCTTGAGTCAAATTAATCTGTTAGGTTTACAGAAGCAGGTTTGAACTCTTGAGCACGTTGAGTTTAAAGGTCAGATCGGTCGGTCAGCAGGTCACAGACCACCCAGGACCCTGTGTAACAGGCCTAATTAACACCAGCCAGATTAAATCCGGGTTAACCCCTCCAGACCAGACTGTACCCTCAAATGTGGAAGTCTATCTCAAACGAAGTCTCGTTATTTAATGTGTACCATCAGCAGTCATGAGCTGTGACTTAATTTCAACAGTAAACTGGTTGAATTTGAACATGTTTATCAAGGCTTGACAAATTTTTTTTTTTATCTTTTGTGATAAACCATCACAACCGAGAATATTTGCCCCAACCATCTGAATCAGGGATTCAAAATGGCGACCGCCGGCCAACAATGCAAGCAGGGGAGTAGAGTTTCACTCCAGTGAGAGCTGAAGGTCCGGCACGATGACGCCAACAGGACCCCATCGTCCCTCTGCCTCCTGGCTGCACTGAGAAATATATATAATATATATTAGACATATTCATAATATCTTATGATTTAATTTAAGATGTAGAATACCATTCAAACCATTTCTGATCATCTAAATGCTACAGATTACAGATTTATTATTATTCAGCTTTGACTGTAACAGAATAATTCAACATGTCGTGTCTGATCTTCGTCTCAACGTATTCAGACTCTCAGCTGCTTCCTCCGACACCAAACTCTTCAGTTTTTAACTCTGACAACCGTAGAAGACCAACGGTATGAGCAGTTTATGAAACTCTACCCTGCAACACACCAAAAGCATCTCAACCTTTGACCTTTGACCTTTGAGGAAGTCTAATATAAAAACAAAGTCTATGTGATTAGAGTTTTAAGATTTAAGACGGTTTTCTCACTTAACATACCTCACAATGAAATGCTGAGAAATTAATTCTTGTGATTCAACACTATTAATATCAGAGGGTATAATCTGACCTAGACCTATTTAAACCCAGGTATAATCTGGCCTATGTTTATTTAGCCCCAAGTATAATCTGGCCCAAGTCCCTATAACACAGATATAAACTGACCTAGACCCCTTTAACCCCAGGCATAATCTGGCCTAGGCCCCTTTAACCTCGGGTATAATCTGACATAGGTCCCTAACCCCAGGTATAATCTGGCCTATGTCCCTTTAACATCAGGTATAATCTAGCCTAGGCCTCTTTAACCCAAGGCATATTCATTCAACCTTTATTTAGACAGGTGAGTCTCATTGAGTCACAAGGACTCATTTTCAAGAGAGACCTGTATAATCTGGACCAGATGAATAATCTGGCCTAGGCCCCTTTAACTCCAGGTATAATCTGTCATAGGTCCCTTGTATAATCTGCCTTGGCCCCTTTAACCCCAGGTATAATTTGGCCTAGGTCCCTTTAACACCAGGTATAATCTGGTCTATAGTCCCCTTTAATCCAAGGTATATTCATTCAACCTTTATTTAAACAAGTTAGTCTCACTGAGTCACAAAAACTCATTTTCAAGAGAGACCTGTATAATCTGGATCAAGTGAATAATCTGACCTAGATCCTTTTAACCCCAGGTATAATCTGGCCTAGGCCCCTTTAACCTCAGGTATAATCTGACCTAGGCCCCTTTAACCCAGGGTATAATCTGGACCAGGTGAATAATGTGGCCTAGGCCCCTTTAACCTCAGGTATAATCTGCCCTAGGCCCCTTTAACCCCAGGTATAATCTGTCCTAGGCCCTTTTAACCCAAGGTATAATCTGGACCAGGTGAATAATATGGCCTCAGCCCTTTCTACATGCTCTCTTATTTTTTACATTTTGTGTGATCTCTTGTGTATGTTCCTTTGTACTGAAACTCTGGCACAACAATTTCCTGCGGGATCAATAAAGTTCTATTTTATTTTATATCATCTCTTTAACCAGGGTATAATCTGAACCAGGGATATAATCTGGCTGTTTACACAGGACCAATGGGTCACTAACCCTCGTACCTGGCCGGCGAAGAAGCCACACACACCGATGATGCAGAGGATGTTGAAGACAGCCGAACCCACGATGGTCCCGACACCAACGTCACCTTTGGTGACGAACACACCTGGAGAGGAAAACGGGTCGGAAAACCCAGAAACACACGGTTCTTAGAGATCAGACCCAAACAAAACCAATCCTCTGAAACTCATCTGCAGCAACATTTCCTGTTGCGTTCAATTTCTTCGCACCCCTTGTTTCATATAAAAAGTCTGGGCTCTCCTTCAACATTCTGCTCCATACAGATGATGAAGTTCTGTTGGCTCTGTTGGGTTCTTCAAGCAGCAGCGGACACTGGAGTCGGCTCCTCTGAGGTCCTGGTTCTGATCAGGAAAAAGGTGAAACTTCTTGAACCAGAGGAGATCAAGTATCTGGAGTGTTGTGCACGAGTGATGCCAGGACTCAGCAGGATCTGGACCCACGGATCAGGGTTTGTCTGCAGTAATGAGTGTGTTGCTCCGGTCTGAAGGAGCTGAGCTTTTATCCAGCAGATAACGGTCACTCACAGTTTGCCCACCAACATCGGTCTCTTGTTTTCAGTCTAATGCTGTTTGCAGCAAGCTACAAGAGTTAGCATGTTAGCAGGTGCTGAAGGCTAACGAGCGGCTAACAGTTCACTGACAGCTCGTCAGACTGTCGGGGTTAATTTAAAAAGAGCAGAACAATTACATCCGAGTCATTAAACTGATCTGGGGTCTGGGTGTGTTTAGCAGAGCTGAAAAAGAAAAACGGCCTTTTGTTGGAATTGCTCTGAAAGGGAAACATACCTGAATTCTACAGGTACGCAAAAAAACAGTCAGCAAGACAAAACCGTCTCTGTAGAGAACCGCACAAATTATAGAAAGAACAGTTTATGTTAAACTGCTTAAAACAAATTATAATGTCCTCCACAACTGCCTTAAAACCCATCTAATCAGACGCTTCGGATGTAAATAAAAAAATAAAAAAAAGATAGTCAATACTCCAGATTAGATTAAGAATGATCCCTGATCATAAATATTGTAAATTAAAATGTTACGAGTAAGAAATTTGACGGTTTTGCTTCATTTTGAACTCGGAACATCCGACCTGCATTAAATCATTGATCGCTGTGTTTGTCTGGGAATCCACTTTGATCCTCTCATATTTTACGTTTGATGTTTTTTTTAATTTTCAAATCCATATTAAATGTGTGTAAAAAGTTTATAAACCTAAATTAAGTGACGGCCCTCTTCAACGCTTCTGAGATAAAAAGAATTAATTTGTCTGTTCTTGATTCGGTCGATGCTGCTGAATAAACGCGTTATGAGAAGAGTTCCGTTTGAAGTGAAACCCGTCAGAACCGACTCCCTGTTGGCGCCGCCGAGCGTTTTGATGAAACGCATCATTACCGATGACGGAGGTGAAGAGCTCCGGGGCCGAGCTGCCGGCTGCCATGAAGGTCGCTCCGGCCACGTCCTCGCTGAGATGGAGGCGCTGCAAAAAGAAAACATTTTTAATTTGAGCTGGTCTAAATATTCTGTCCTACAGGCACGAGGACAGACTAACCCTGCTGCTGCCCTGGGGTCAAAAGGTCTCGTGAGTCGTTCTGACCCGAGGACAGCAGGAGAATTAAGCGGTTCTTTGCCTTTTCTTTAGAGAAACCAAACTTTTGATTAAAGTTCTGGGAAGATTTTTCTCACTTGCTGCAGGAGCTCCTCTAATTTAAAGCTTTTGAAAAAGGTCCAACTAATCTGAGTCCGAGGAAACGTTTTGTTTAATTAACACGTTTCACCGTTAACCTGTTGTTCTAGAAAAACCCTGAAGAATACATCAAACCTGCAGCGAACACGACATTCTTACAGAGAATCTCCTTCAGAGACGATCACGATCTAAAAGACTTTCACCAACAAACGTCTGATGTTTGTGATGATAATGTTGGAAAATGTTTCTGTGTCCTGAGATGAGCGTTGTTGTAAATAAACTGAATTAAACTGAGCATGACGTTTGTTTTGATAAATAACTATTTACACAAAATGTTCCTGATAGTGAAAGAAATCTCTTCAGCTCCTTCAAAAGCATCAGAATAAATCAGCTTTGCTGTTTTTGTCTTGTGCTGCTTTAAGCTTTCACAGAGAATTTCGGCTTTCATCTTGCATTTAGCTTCCATTAGCATTTAGCTTGTGTTCTGCTTTCTCAGCTTTACCGACTTGGTTCCAGCTTCAACTAAATTCAGCAGTTACGAAGCTCTCACACAGAACACGCAACTTCTGTGAGCTTCTTGACCTGAACAGGAACCAGGAGGAAACCTGCTGCCTTCAACTTGAACTTTGTCACCTCGGTGAAACCTGTCGGTGTCGGCTCTCACCTCACAGATCTTCTCCAGGGACGGGACAAAGTAGTCGTCACAGACCAGAGCCAGAGCACAGAACATGTAGACGGTCTGAGGAGAGAGACAGAACCATCAGAACCATCAGAACCAGCTCGTATGAGGCTCAGAAATCCTCAGAGGGAGAAGTTCAAGTATCTGCGTGTCTTGTTCCTGAGTGATGGAGCGAGAGATGGATCCATGTGTCGGGGCCTCGTCCTCAGTAATGAGTGTGTTGCTTCGGTTGGTCTTGGTGAAGAAAGAGCTGAGTCAAAAGGCATATTGTCTGACAACCTCTACCTGATTGTTCTCACCTCCAGAGAGGTTCATGGTTTCATTAGATGCCAAGGTTAACCCAAAGTGATTTCCCTCCTCTGCACTGAACCGGAGAACAGAACCGAGCAGGTCCATCTGGTTTAATTCACGCGCTGGACGTCAAACCAGGTCGAAAAGAAAATCCTCGGATTTACTACGACTGAAATGGCCTGCAGAGCTTTTGAGCTACAACACCGAACGTTTCCTCTTGATGCAAACCCTCATTCCTTAGAGCTGGAGGGGTCCACCGAGGCCACATGTCAGAGCACCAGTGACACGTGCCGGTACACGCTGTGCAAAACTCTCAAAAATCAAACAAGAACTGCTCTCAGGATGAAACGCTGTGGTCACTCAAAAAGCAGTGGTCACCCAGTCGCAACAAACAGTATGAAACCCACGAAAATCCTAGAGATGAAAACTATAAATCCTGGGAAAACAGCGCACGCTGCGACAGTTTATTTAGTTATTAACTTTATTTAACCAGACAAATCCCACCGAGATCACAGATCTCTTTTGCACGGGAGGCCTGGGCCTGAAGGCAGCCTGACATGCATGTTTTTAATCTGTGGGAGGAACCCGGAGAAAACCCACGCAAGCACGAGAAGAACATGCAAACTCCACACAAAAAGACACCAAGTCCAACCGTGGATTGAACCCAGGACCTTCTTGCTGTGAGGCAACCGTGCTAACCACCGAGCCATCGTGCTGCCGTGACAAACCACAGTTTCCTTTCAAACACGGAAAATCTGAATTCTCACAAACTGTGAACTTGAACCAATCAGGTTGTTTTAGCTGAACGCACAAATCCAGAGAACAAGTCCTCGGCTGAGGAGAAACCTGAGATCCTAGATGATCCTCCTGCCAGAGTTTCTCTGCCATCTCACCAACGAACGTTCTGCTCAGAAGTTACGTGCCTCTGAATCTTGAAGACCTGATTGTTAGGATCATTTAATATTGTCCTTTCAATAGCTCTTTAAATAAATATGCCACACAGGAGAGGTAGATAATTTTCTTAATCCCAGGTTTCATCTTGCAAGATGAAGCAGAGGTGAAATAGAAGCATGAAAATGTTACATGGCGCTCCGTCTCCAAGTCTGCTCAAAGAGACCACGAGGAAGGGTCTTCATAATGTTATCAGACAAAGGCAAGGTCAGACGACTCTTGGAGCCTCCTGGCTTATTCGGCTGAAAGGCTCCGTGCTTATGCAGCACTCGGTCCAGTCCTAACAACTCAACACACACACATGGTAATCTGAGTTATATTAACTGAAAAACATCTGTGACCTTTCCAACATTTTTCAGTCAGGTCATCTGGACAGGTTGACCTGACTGAAAAATGTTGGATTATATACCTGGATTATTGAGCATGGACTTTGTTATCTGTGACCTTTCACATCTCCATCAGTGATGCACGACGTACTTCTTCACCCTGGCTCGGACTTGACACTCGTGTCCGCTGATCTGTTTGAATCCTTGCGTTAAACTGCAGACTTTTCAAACAAGGAGCTGAAAGTTCAGCCTTGCAACATGAAGGTACGTTCACCCCTTCACTTGACACAGTTTGTCCTCGGTGGCTCTGGAACAGCCCAGTTCAGCCTTAGAGATCGAGCGAGGAGCTCCGTCTTCCAGGGGGAGCTCCGAGTGGAGCGGCTGCTCCTCTGCATCTGAATAAGGGAGGTGATAGATCTTCTCTGGCTCTGGGAATGCCTGGAGGTCCTCCAGGAGGAGATGGAGAGTATCTCTGGGCACAGGGAGGTCTAGATGTTTCTCCTGGACCTGCTGCCTCCATGACCAGACCACAGACGAGAGGTAAAAGATGGAGATGAAGTTTCTGAAGGTTTCAGCAGCTGAAACAGTTTGTAAAGGAGGAGATCAGAGGTCATTACAGGAAAACTATCAGAAGCTATAAGTCGTCCTGATTCCTGTTTTAGGGTTAAACCCATCAGTGAACCTGCTTCATCCAGGTGTGTTCCCCTGCACACGAACCGTTCGTCTGTCCCTGTACGGTGACGACAGCTTCGTTCAGCTGCAGCCGCACTGTGCTGAGCTGGAAGTCAGCGGTTCAGAGGCAGATTAACAAAATCCTCTGCAGCTTTTGGGTTTTCAGTTCCAGAACCAAACAGGATCATCTTTCAGACCGAAATCAGTTAAAAGCAGCTTCGCAGCAACACAACATCTGGATCCGATCCAACATCTGAGTCCAAATCCCAGAACAAAAAGCTGCAACAAAAGCTGAGATCCACAATGAGCTGCAGGGTGACACAGCAGCTGCTCACATCTTCAGCTGCGCACATCTTCAGCTGCGCACATCTTCAGCTGCTCACTTCTTCAGCTGCTCACTTCTTCAGCTGCTCACATCTTCAGCTGCTCACATCTTCAGCTGCGCACATCTTCAGCTGCTCACTTCTTCAGCTGCGCACATCTTCAGCTGCTCACTTCTTCAGCTGCTCACTTCTTCAGCTGCTCACATCTTCAGCTGCTCACATCTTCAGCTGCGTACATCTTCAGCTGCTCACATCTTCAGCTGCTCACTTCTTCAGCTGTTCACATCTTCAGCTGTTCACTTCTTCAGCTGCTCACTTCTTCAGCTGTTCACTTCTTCAGATGCTCACTTCTTCAGCTGTTCACTTCTTCAGCTGTTCACTTCTTCAGCTGCTCAGTTCTTCAGCTGCTCAGTTCTTCAGCTGCTCACTTCTTCAGCTGCTCACATCTTCAGCTCTCACTTCTTCAGCTGCTCACATCTTCAGCTGCTCACATCTTCAGCTGCTCACTTCTTCAGCTGCTCACATCTTCAGCTGCTCCACTTCTTCAGCTGCTCACTTCTTCAGCTGCTCACATCTTCAGCTGT